TCATACTAGCAGAAGCTCCCCACTAAAACAATTTATCAACTGTGCTGCCTTAAGTTATCAAATTGGAGGGATTAAATGAATTTAATTTTTGCGCGGGGCCATGCGTTACGTAAAGATCTAATCGCTGCTTTAGACATAGCAAACACCTTGCAGAGGTCTTGAGGAGCCTCGGGGAACTCGAACACAAATTCGACCAGAAAAGAAGTGTCTAGTGCGATGACGGCGATATTATCAGTCCGAATGATTACGCTAATTTTGACTAATTTCATTACAGCCTAATTAATAGTTATTGTTGAGAATTTTGGTTTATCGGTCCAGAGATCCACAAACTCAGGAGATTAAAGGTTGCGTTATAAATGGCCATAGGGGAGCATCAAGATAAGTACTTGAGAGTGTGAAATATGACTGGCTTTGTGCAGATGAGGCATTAACTTGGCGTCGATGGTCGAATGAGATAGGTTGGCATATGCTCTGCTTCTTTCAAACGGCCCATCATTTATCTTTCCATTCATGTCTTTATTTAGAAAACGCTACTTTTTATGACAGCGAGATGATAACACTGAACAAATCTTTATGGTAATGCGGTACTTGAAATTTTCACATCAGAAAAACTGAGCCAGAGAATTAGCGATTTCTTGCAAATCACATGAGCTGCGTGATACCGACGCTAGTGTAAACAAAGCCTGCTTAATTCCCCCGCAGTTGCCTTTTGTGTTGCAAAAAAATAAAACATGATTTGCTCCAAACTGTCCATGTTCGTTGCGGTGAAAAACAGTTTGCTAGGTAACAACTAACATTTGTGACAAAATCTCTACAATACAAAAATTAGCTCATTCGTTTTGTTTGTGAGCTTTTATAATAACACAGTTCAAGTCGTAAGTGCATTGCATAAAGGAATGTTCCCATTTAAAACAAAGAAGGAAAAGATAAATTCATGCTAAATTAAATTAGCGCTAAGGATTACTCAGGAATTCAGTGTTGAACACTAGGCAGTATTTATAGCCTCCTTTTCACCGCAAAAGATTGTGGCCACGCTGGAGGAGGAGAAGCTTTCGTGGTAAATAAATTTGTTTCAGTGCTGTTAAGTTGCCGTTTCTTTTGTGAACAAAGAAAAGTTATACAAACTTTGGGCAGCTAAGTCAAATCGTTTTATAAGCAACCCCACTAATGACAAAGACCATGCTTTCGATTTCTCTTGGTCAGTTTAAATGAAGCATTTCAAAAGGAGCAAAGATATGAGCAGGTACTTCTCATTATGGAACCTATATAACATCAGTTACTGGCTCGAAGTCAAGTGGGTAATGTGATAGTATCTTAGACTATACGCTATCGATAGGCGCTAGCTTGGATTTGGATCTGGAGCCAATCAGTAACCCTCCAATCACATCTGCAAAGTGGTTCCATGGGAGGTTTGAACCTCAAACCCTCGGCCCGTGGGTGGAGATCTCAGAACAAGTATCGGCTGGAGCGGGTGCTCTTGCACGACTGCAACTCTCACGGGTGGGTGTTGAACACATGGGAAGCTACAAAGTTACCGGCATCAACTCCATTGGCAGTGCTGATCTCGTCTTCTTTCTCAACGTAACGCGTAAGTTCTCCAGCATTTAAGGTACCCAAATGTAATACATGCATGCGAAACTCAATCAAATTCAGTGAGCATGTTTTTGAGACTGGGCGGTAAACCTACTCATTAGCAACAATTACATAGAGGGTTAATGCTAGTTTCCACCTAATCCAGAAAGCCGAAGGTAAATGTGCTATTTCGTTAGTTGGAAGCGTACCCACGGCCACCATGACTGAATTCTTAAGGTACGCAGGTACGTGGGTATTTGTCTCATACGACTTTGACAGTGAGAGAATTCCTTGTTCGTGTGAAAGCCACATCTGCAAGGCAACAGCTAATGGAAAGATGGGTACCAGATGGCACGAAGTGTTGATGACATTTCAGTGCAAAGTTTAGGTGGGAAACAATTAACTCCAAATTTTGTGATTGAAATTTCAGTCTCTTAACCTAGAAAGGCCTTTCTTGGTTGCAATTTTCGTTGTCTAGGCGTTACCAGTAAAGCACAATACAAGGAAAAGTATTATTACTCCAAAGAACCTATGCTCCACATAATCTTGCAACAAAATATAAAATTCTTTCCTGAGGCTGCAGTGCTTGAAGTGTGCCAGGAAAGATCAAATTGAGCTATCAGAACTGTGAGGGCCTGCGAACCGAAGGAGTCAAGCCAATAGCTGCCGAACGAATCACCGCAGCCATTAACCTTTTATCGGGGAAGAAGCTTAAGATGAGTTTACGAGCCTAAGATCATAAATCTTAGCATTCAAAACACAAAAGTGAAGTTGTTTGTCTTTCGTCAGCTCTGATCAAGTGATGAAATGACTAACAAGACATTTTCCGAAGAAAAGTTACATACTTTATAATAATTGCGAGTCAAGCAATGAAAATGGAAAGGAAATGGCGTAATTGTCTTTAGAGAGAATGTTTTGTTAACAAATGAATGGGCTGTTAAACAAAAAGGCGATCTTAAACATGGAAAGATATATTTATTATACTATTTTGGAAAGCCTTCCGATCTAAGTAAGCCATTTTATGCAATAAAGTGGCTCAACCATGAGACATGCGACGTAAAACACGTTCGTTGAAAAATGGTAAGGAGAGGATTTTTTGTAAGATGGGGTGATAAGCTCTCTCCCCTCGATCGGAATTGCGGCGTTAAGCATTCCTCTCCAAGCTGGGATTATCTTTATAACAATAAAACCTGCAGGAAAGGAGAAGTAAGGAACCGTTGTTTGTTTCGAAAGAAGTTTTAGCGAAATCATGGCTGTCTACTAAACTGAGTCATAGGAACTGTCAGCGCGTTAGTTTCTTGCATTAATGGAAGGTGATAGCACTGCAGCCAGTTTTACTGTCTCCTCTTCGGCCCTAATTCTGAGCCATTGGTCCTCATATTAGGTCTTGGAATGGGACTCGATGCGTAGTCTCTTAACGTTTTGCAATGCAAAGTACTTTGTTGATCCTGCTCTTATAGCGACAAATTGTTCTCACCTGCGTATAGATCAGCAATGCATATCAAAGTTAAATTTGCTCACTTGCCCAATTTCCATAGGACCACTTGTGCAATGACATTACTGACCATCAACCCTTTTATAGTCAGGATTCGCTAAATGCGAACAGAGACATAACGTTCCGATTGCAAGAGGTTTTTTATGTCCAACTGTAAAAGTACGTGAAGTCCACAAGGTAAGTCATTACGTGCGCAATCATCTTCAGTGTCTGTCGTTGTGTAAATCTGATAACTTAACAGCCATTTTCGCTTGTACGCTCCTCCCCCATTACTTTTCAAACGACCGTTAACAATACTTCCCATGAAGGACATAAAGGTTGGTTTTTAAAAATGTCTGAGAACCCTTTTGGGCTAAAAATAAGTGGATATATCAGAAGGCAATGTTGATATTGTTAACATGGTGCTCCTATTCTTTTGTTTATTGAACATTACAGTTGGCGAAGTTCGAATTCGTAGCTTCGCAGGCACCCGCTTTGGATGGATGACGTGTGTGCCAGTTGGCTATGCAAAGTTGGCTTATGATTTGCTGCGTCCATAAATCTTACAGAGTACTTTAATTTAATTAATCACCTGATAGAAAATAACTCATTTCTTGTCTTTATCGCACTCTTAATCTGGGGATGTCTTAATGCTGCAGTGGCAGCAATTAGTGCGATCGTTGAAGGGTCGTGCTTTTGGCACTTGTGTCGGCATTCCCAGCAATCTCTTGTGCATACATTCGACTTTTAGAGGTTATTATGGTGTCCGTTGACCCACCTTCAGTTGTGTCCTTCCTGCTATGCACATCATTAAATCATTTTTTTAGACCTTGGAGGCTTAACTTACTGCAAGTTTAGCAATTGCGTGAGCCCATTAACCTCGTCTTCCTTGATGAACTGCATCCAAATATCCACTTGATCATGTGGTTATTTTTACATCTAGACAGGAAGTTAGAAAGTCAACGATCGTTTCTGCTTGCAAGTGCTTCGAGACCTCTTTAATTTGCAGTTCATTCTTTTACGCCAATTAAATGAAACGCCTACTCCTATGCCCTTATATAGGTGTAATTAATTGCTGTTGTAGCAGCTTTTCATTTTTGCCAGTGATAATTAAATTCCGTAATGCGCTAATAAATTGAGCCTGGCGTTTAAGTTAGCGAATCGAAAATATTAAACATTCATTGTTTCACGTTTTGCCTCTACTCTTGAGTTTGCCTTATGCCGTCGTTGACTCTCAGACTAGCCTCGATCAACAAAGTGCTACCTTTTGATGCATGGGCTTAGAGACAAAAGTCAACAATTTCGACAGCTGTAAATTTGTAGATTGAGAAGATTAGAATAACCAACTATCGCATT